CAAGACGACAACGCCCCTATCCACACCGCTAGGTGCGTTCAAACATGGTTCGAAGAGCATTACAATAAAGTTGAGCATCTCGCATGGCCCCCTCAGTATCCGGACTTAAATATTATTGAACATTTGTGGCAATATTTGGAGTCTAAATTTCGTTCCCGATTCCCACCTCCATCAAATCTTTTGGAATTAGAGGCCGCTTTGCAAGAGAAATGGCTTAATATTCCTTTAAACGTTGTCCATGACCTTTATGCATCGATCCCACGTCGTATTAAATCTGTAATTCCGTCAAAGGGTGGTCCAACTCCCTATTAATAAAGATTTTCTGATATTTCACAGGTGTTCGTATTATTTTGTCACCCATCTGTATATATATATATATATATATATATCCCTTTTGTTTACGATGTAATTACATTTATATGGCATTCCTACACATATTTTGACTTAATTGTAGATGCAATCATATAGTAATTATATACAAATAGTATTTTTATATACTTCCCTTTTCGAAATGAATCTACTTTTAATAATATAGAATTTGCACAGATTTTCCTTTTATTCCAGCTGCATTTATACTCATCTTTTAAAAATATTTCTTGTCTGGTCACATTTATCTTTTCACTCAAAATTGTAAAATAAAATTTCTCAATTTTGATAATTTAATATTTTTATATTTCAAAAGTAAAGCAGTTATGAAATCCATTTTTAGATAAAATTTTTCATTATATGTATACTTATATAGAATTCATCTTAATGTAGGTAAATTTACACCTGCTGATCCATGCGAAGATGTTATTAAAGATGGGACTTGTGGTAAACAAAAGGAGTGCACAACTTTCAATGATGGGACTAACAGTTTTGAATGTAAATGCGGAAAAGGATTCTCGTCAGTTGGCGTTATCCAACCTTACTCTGACAAGCGAACTATGATTCACAACTGTGAAGGTAATAAAAATATCACTTTTGTACTTAATGCATAATCTCATGTTTAGAACCTCAATTTTTTTAGTCACGTCACCTTACTTAGATTACCATTAAGAGTCAGAACTTCAGACAATGTGGGATAGTTGTAATTTTGATTGGCTTGATTTCTTTTATATTAAAGTAGGTCATGAAAATGAATGCTGTGTAAGTTTGAGCCCCTAAAAAAATTCCCCACCCCCTGTAGAAAACTTCAAAGTCATTTCTTTAAAAGAGAAATATAAGTATGTTTTAAGGGGTTTATCTGGAAAAATCAACAACACCCATACTGAATTGTTTAATAACTTTGACGGAGCATAACTGTCAAAAGCAAGCATGTCCAATGGTAACGAGTCACAGCAATATACTAATAATATAGCAAAACAAAACTTTGGGGTGTAGTTGTTTTCTTCAGATAAACCCCTTAAAATATACTTATATTTCACTTTTAAAGAAATTACCTTGAACTTTAAAATTTTCTTGAGGGAAGGGAAAAATATTTAGGAGCTCAAACTTGCCCATTTTTCATAACCTCAATCATTATAAAAAATAATCAAGCCAATCAAAAACTGCAACTATCAAAATTTAAGATTTTTGTCTGACTTTCAGATCAGTAGCATGAAAACCGATGTAAAAAAATCAATAAAAATTTATTTTAATCCTTTTATTTCAATCTAAAATACAGTAAAGAGCGTTAGACTATTAAAGTTATCTGGTTTTTTGGTAATTTTGTTAACATATCAAAAGCTGCACCACGAGTAAGCTTGGACTAAGTGACGTTTCACATGAACGTTTCAATCAGTTACATGCAGTGATGGTGAAAATAACCTTAAGCCAAATTTACAAAATGAAGAATCATAGATTAAAACATAAACGTATCAAACACTAGGAGAGATTTTACCAAAAAAGTCCATCCCAAAAGTAGGAAGCCCTGTATATGGATTGATTAAGATCATTAGCATAAATTGTAATGGCATTTAAATAAAATTGGACTTAAAACTGTCTTGTTCTTAAATGCTAATAAAAGTTTTATAAAATTCTTATTTGTTTGACTTAGCTACCTCAAGTAGAAATTTTCCCCCAAACTAGTGGAAAATTGGAGTAATCCAGTGTATATATATATATTGNATATAAAAGGGACACCAATGCCCCTTACAAGTTAATAATCAGGCAAACGAATGCCTTAATAATAGAGTCCTGTAAACATTTAATAAATCTGTTGTCTGATTTTTTTTTTGTTTCATTTTGCTTAGTGCCTGGATGAAGAAGAAGCACTTTTATTAGGGGGGAGCATTTTTACGTGACTTCAGTATTGAAATTCTAGAGCTAATGTGCACAATACAATCGAAAGTCATTATTATTATTATTTAACGCTTACATGGGCCATTTATTTCTAGTAAAGGAAAATTAAAAATTTTGGTATTGAAAATGATGTAAGAAAAAAAAACCATCGGTAACCGGCGATACTGCTTAAGAAGACAAAGACATACGCCCTTGTCATATTGAAGAACATAAAACACAAATTTGAGAATGACACCCCAAAAGATGAGCCCAGAAATGTGGTAAAATACGTAGTCGGTACCTCCAGGCACCAGGGCGTTTGACATGCAGTTAAGGCCATTTTTCAGGAAGCTGCCATAATTTATTTTTCTTTCTCATTCAGACTGATCAGCTTTCTGCAAATGTTTTAATATATTGGTAGCGAATCAAATAGCAAAACTTGTAAAATAAGGATAATTAAGCCTATACATATGTAACACATGCATACTTACTATGTTACATTGTATAGTAACAGTTTTTCTTTTATTTCAAAGAAATGTGCAATCAGAAAATATGCAAACATGGACGATGTGAAGCTAAAGATGGAGTTTACCGCTGCGAGTAAGCATGCACATATAAATTTTTAGATCACGTTTTTATTTGAAATCACGTTTAAGTCTTTTTTTTAAAAAATTACTGCATAACAATTATATTTTTGTTCAATAAAATAGTTTTTGAGTTAAAACAGTGAACTCTCACTTATGCGCCGCCCTAAGGACTCAACAGATAAATGCGCATAAATTATAGGGACGCATAAGTGAAAATCTTTCAAAATTCAAAAATGCAACATAAATTGCTTTAGAAACATGATTAATGTTTCTGAAGATTAAATTATAATCTATTAATGTCATTATTAATTGATATTTATAATCGTTATAATCGTATATTGTAATTAATATTTATAATCGTAGAAACGACAGAGAGAGGTTAAAAGGTTACAAGGGACGAAAAAAGAACTATTGCACTTTATCCAGCAACAATACGTCACAGATTACAATCTTTGTTGCAATTTCTTTTTATCTGTAACAAAGATTGTTTAGTTATTTCAATTTTTAATTTTACACTTTAACTTTAACAGACACAAGAAAAAAACTTTTTTTCTAAAATATTACGTGATTTTTTTCTATTTAAAGATAAAAATAAATTTTTTCATTTTTCTGAAAATAATTTCTGCTTATATTTGAAATATTTATTTTGATAGCGATGCATAAAGGAATGATAATTATCATTATTTTGATGCATAACTATCATTATTTGATTGCATAAAACAGGTGGTGCATAAGTTAGAGGTCACTGTATATTTAATGCGTTTTATCTTTAATTTATGGAAGCTTTTCAACTAATTTCGTTCTTATTTTATTGTTTACTTTAACTATAAATATTTTAGTTTATTAATCAGGGTTAAGAAACCTATGTGAATCTAAGAGAGGTTTGAGACACATAAGCAAGAGTCACCTAGTTTATTTGTCTCAATATTCTGCTATATTTTCCGGATAATATGATCTATATTTTGCTCAATATTTTGCTATTTACTTTCAATATTTTGGTTGCGACAATTTTCCAAAAAACCTCATATCGGCTATTATAGATATAATTTTAAACATGTGTTCAGGGCTCGAAAAACCACCCGTCCGCCCGTCCTCGGCGGTCAAAAATTCCACGCGGACGACGAATTTCTCGAATCCGACGTCCGCGCGGACGGTGATACATGTTGGTGATACATTTTAAATTTTTGTTATCTTACAAGAGTCTAGCGCCTCACTTCCAAAATGACCCTCGAATCTAGAAATACAGCAACATACTGCGCATGGTGGAATTGATGTTTTCTCTGTCTCCCGTACTGCAGCGGTTGAAAGGAGCTTTTCAACAATGAATTTACAAAGAAAAAAAAATCGCGTACTGGTAAGAAGCGTTAAACGCAATTATAGATATCAACCTAAATGGAAAACCCCTTTCAGATTTCTGTGCAGAAACCTCTGTAAATCATTGGCTTGATTGTGGAACTGGCAAACGTCATATTTAATTCATTTAAAAAACACAGATAACTTGACATTTGTCATTTAAATTATTTCATAAAAGAAATAAATTATTTTATAAAAGAAATACTAGGTTCCTATTAGTAACCTAGTATTCCTTTTATTACTGTATAATGCAATCCTAGTATTTGTAATCTTAGTAACTACTAATTCATTATGCAATTTATATAAATGTTTGTAATAAATAAGAGAAAATTATATATTTATTTATTTAGAAACTACGAGTTAGTTTCAAAGGAGGACGGCACGGCACGGGTACATGGTTGGACAAGCCGTCCTCGGGGACGGGTAAAATTTCTGAGTCTTTTCGAGCCCTGCATGTGTTAGCATTTTGTTGAAGGAAAGTCAGAAAGTCAATTATAATTGCAACCTCAATATATATTTTTTCGTCTATCATATAGTTCTGAATTAAGAGGAATAACGAATGCGTTACTTTACTCTAAAACAAATAAGAGAGATCTTCTTTAAAGTTTTGCTGTTATCACGGAAAGATAGTATAAATTTTCATTTCTCAAATAAACGATAAAACTCTTTAATCCTCTCCGACACAGTGTGTTCATTCTAGCAATATTTTTTCCAAAAAAAGTGCAAACCATAAAAATCTGTGAAACAGTTCACATTTAACCATTTACTTAGAATTCACGATCAATGGTTGTAGTTGCTAATATATTACCTGTATGAAAATTTTAATTCAAGTTTGCTACTCACAAAAGAGTAACTCGATTCGAATGTGTTAATAGCATTTTTCTATGGAAATATTTAGTAGAACGAGATTTTTCTTTTTCTTTCAAAAAGTGATATCATTCAATTTTGATGCTCTTATTATGTGTGGTAGTCTTAAATGCTTATTCTTGAAATAAGATATATTAATATCGTATTTTTATATACTAATACAGGGTGATTGGAAATTGTCTTACCAAAATTGAAAGGGGATTAGAGAGGATAGATAAAAAATATCGTAGTTCAATTTGCATCCGTAAACGAAACGCAAAAAACCAGGAAAGTAAAGAAATTAGAAATGCAAAAAAGAAAGAGACAAAAACAATTATATTAAATAAAAATAATCGGAAAATATTTAATAGATTGAGAAAGAAGCGTATTATAAAATTCACATCACCGCAATTCAGAAAGGCACAAAACTATGTCAAGCCATGCCTTGAACATTTCCAGCAGCAAGAACCAATATCGATGACGGAAATCGTGGTGGCTCGGGGAGTAGAGCCCTTACCTTCTATTGAGGTGTCATTATTCTGTTGAACTTTATAAATTACAATTTTATAATATAAATGAGTTTGACCACCACTACATGCAAATAATTACAACAGATATGCATTCTAATAATAGTCTTTACGGTAGCAAATTTCAACATGGTGAAAGCTTAAAATTATTTTTGAGTGAGATAGTTTTTCGATAAGTGTTTCTACGTGAAAAATCTATTCTCGGAAAGAGTGACAGTTGTCAGGAATGCAAATGACTTAAAATCATCTTCGTTTCAAAGTGTTTGCCTTAGGTAAACAACATAGGGAAAAGTACTTCGTATATTTCTCAAATATTAGTGGCTGTGCTCCCGTTAATAAATAATAGCTTTACTAAAGCATATGTATGCATTTATGCAATAATAACTGCTTATAACTTATGCTTATAACAACTGCTCTGAATTTTGTTTTAGATTTCACGATTATTTTGCTGCTCATTTTGTTAAAGTTTAATATAAATGATTTATGTCGAAATTCTGATATCTATTTGATGAATGTTTAAGCTTGTTAATTTTAATTCTATAGATGTGACAAAGGCTATACTGGATTTAATTGTGATATACAAGAGGTTGATATGGCTGGTAAGAAAACTTGATCTTTTTTATTCACATATTTAATTTTACTTGTGAATTTAGTTTTAATTATTATTTGATTACATTTAGATGTCCTAATAGAATTAGACTTATTGCTGAATTTTAATTCTATGAAAAAGACAGAAATCTTATTTTTTTTTCCTTTTAAATTAACCATTGGCATAATATTTCCTTTAAATTAGATTCATTTTATACAGCTTGCATTTAAATTTCAATAAAATTCATAAAATGTAAGAAATATTAATTTCTTTAAAAAAATTAAGTAGCATTTAAAATAATTAAACCGCATTCATCAAATTTAAAAAGAAACTATATTATATAACTATAATATAACTAACAAGCATCCAATTAGCATGAAATATGTTAATAACAAGGCTGCTTGCATGCTAGAGATAAGAAAAATATGATAGTTAAACCTTTTCTTTCTAACTTGATATTTCAGAACGATTACAATACCAAAACTTATTATCAATTCTTATTAATAGGAGGCACCCAAAACTTTTAAAGTGGTAGCAAATTTTATGCAATAATATAAATAATTATTATATATTAAAATAACTAATTCAAATTTGATGCTTAAAAGCCAGTCTGTTGGTTTAAAAATCCTTTATCAGTTACGGTTGCTGAGATCTGAAAAAAATTGTTAGTTGTAGAATCAAATTTATTAGAAAATTTCCCAAAAATATAATAAAAATTCCTATAAAAATGAAAAAAGTTAAAGGTTTACAGGCATATATGGCAGTACTTTTACTTTCGTTACTTGTACCGCCGGTACCAGTAAAAAGTACGCACTTTCACTTGTACTTCGTTACTTTTTAAATTTAGTACTTTTACTTGTACTTTCGCTACTTTTTTAGAGAAAAAGTACAAGTATTTGTAACAGAAATATCGAATGAAACCGTTACTTTTTTCTAAAACTCGGTAAGCTTTCTGAAAAAAAATTAAATTAAAAAAAATGCTTATGTTTTTTTTTTAATTTATAAAATTAATGTGCAATATATATGCATTCACAGCTAACTTCGTGTTTAAATATCTTCTGTTTCAACTTATACTGCACATTCAATTATTTTTAACTAACTCAAAGATCACAAAGCTATCTGAAGCCCCGAGTTTGCTTTGTTTATGTTTGTGCTTTTAAGACGCGTTTCTAAACAGTAAAACAATTTTAAATCAATGGTAATTTAAATAAATAAAAGCTAAAAATTAAAATCAATAGATAAAATTTCTTTTTCGTGCAAATCCATAAAAAGTTTGATATTAAAATTATATTTGATTTTAAAATTATATTATACGATTATATTATTAAATTATATTATAATATTCTTCCGAATTTAAAAATAAATTAATATCCATAACTTTCAAAATTAAAAATATCTAAATAAATAACAATAATTTTGCAAAAACATTAAGGAACATAAGAATATTATTCAATAAAATTTTAGGTTACTTTGAATTTTCGATTTCCTAGAAATGTACTTTTAAATCGTTACTTTCTTTGTTTAGTACTTGTACTTTTACTTGTACTCTTTACTCGTTACTTTTTTTAAAAATGCTTGAACTTTAACTCGTTACTTTTTAAAAGTAACGTTTACAGGTAAGTATAAATTTAAAGTATCTATTTTTAAAAATTTGTCTCCAACTTTTTAATTTTTTTACATAAATACTACCCTGACCAAAGTATATAATTTTAATTTTAGGTACTCGGGTCGTTTCTTTAGGAACGCTTTGATATTTTTAGAATCCTCATTTAAAGAGAAGACAAAAATTTAGAGATGCTGGGCTTTGCCAATGAATATTTAAGCTAGGAAAATAAAACAAATATGCTGCGAATATTCAATTAATGAAGGGGTGGGGGGTCGTGTACAGGACATCAAAACTAGTGAGATAGTGTGTTGAAATTCGAAGGTGTCTGTTATAATTGTTTTTTAACTACTTCTTTAGACCTACCTCTCTCTCTCTCTCTGATATGTCACATTTCGACAGCTTTTTTTCTTTATTTTTTTTTTCCTCGCTAAGACATTAATTTGTAGTACCTATTTTCGTCTTCTTTTTTTTTAAAAAACATTTTTCGAAAAATGCATATAGAGGGTAGTATTTAGAGAAAAAGGTTTATAGTTATTTTTGTTTCAACTTGCTGTTCATTGAACCTAATTTTGTGAAAAGAATTCTATATTTTTTATAAAAGTTCTATTTTGATAATAATTCAACCTTAATCCCTGCGTAATTTGTATCAATCAGAAATAAATCTTAGAAATATTTATATACTTTTATAGATAATTCAGTTAATTACTTTTTAGGTGCCACAGCTATGCGAGTTGTTCTCATAATTTTATCAATCATGGTGATTCCTTTGATTTTGTTTTCTGTTTTAATGGTTCATAAATACCGAGTGTAAGTATTAAACAACTTTATTACCATATTTTCATATGTGTACATATTAAAACCATACATCAAAAAAAAATTGCACCTGAGCTGAAGCGAAATACGTGCTGCTTTTCCATATGGGGAGTTATATTATTTCATTTGCAGGTGGGGAAAAGTAGAGAAAGTATCGCGTTTCTTACACTGATCCCTTTTAAGGTTAAAAACTATTGCCTACACAAATTACTTTTCATTGTTAAGGACCAATGTGCAGTTTTCCCAACACTAGAATTTGTTTAATCTAAATTGTGTAGAATTCCGTCATCACCTCCAGTAAATATTTATTATTTAAACTTATATCTTAAATACCTATGAAAAAATGAATGAATATACATAATAATGCAAAACAAAACAAGTACATTCTGCATTAAACTCGAATAGTCGAACTGATTTTAGCACTAGAACTGCCTGATTTTGTACTTAACTAAGATCATGCCAATGTGAATGATAGCTTAATTGATGAATATTGTGAAAATTACTACATATAAACATTTTTCGAGATTTAATTAATTTTTTTATATTTTTCATTGACCATGAAAATATAACAATATAGTGTAATATTGCGTTATAGAATATTCGTCCACAGAACTGCAAGTAATACAAGAATAAACAAAAGATACGAATTAAAACAATACGCACTAATATATAACGGTTATAAATTGTTTAAGTTCCATCATTAATTAGACATTGTTGTTGTTGTCATAGGCCATCAAGGCAAGGGGTGCGATTGTTCTTGTTTTCCAATGGCGCCATCTATAGCCAAGAATTTGACGTTTGCGAAACACCCATACGTCACACCCATATTAGTTCGACATTACAAATAGTATATCCACGTGACGTTACAGTGTCAGTAAAACATCGTCAAATTGATTTCTAGCTTATCTCATAGTTATCGGAAGTTTTATTCTGCCTCTTGCAATGTTAAAAAGGGCGCTTCTTTTATTTTATAGATTTATTTTGTAGAAATTTAGATATTAGGGGCTATCTAATGAGCAGAACAATTGATTCTTAACTCGCACAAGAATGAACTCACAATGCGTAATCGGGGTGATGAAAGATTTTTCGAAAATTATCCAAGCATTGAAGGTAGCAATGTCTTAAACATTGTAAAATAATTGCGAGCCATTTGCAAGTTTCACATAGTGTAGAATGATTCCTTAGCATCGTGTCTGCCATTTCGTTCTATTGTAGTAAGGGAGAGTGCTTGGCTTCTACTCAATGGTGTCGTCTGCAAACACTTCAACTTGGATATTATTTTGAATTAAGGCTTTCTCATACACCAATACATTGAGTATTTTGTTTCCATTTGCAGTAAAGCCATGAATGTCATGACGAAGAAATGACACTCAAAATATAAGGAAATTTTTTCTTGTTCAGTTATACGATCTTAAATATTTGGACATTTCTTTAAACGGGAAAAATTCATCTTCAAGTTTGACTGAGATAGAAAAAAAAATATCTGTACTCCAGCTGTGCTCGGAGTTTAGGTGTGGTTCTGTACTTAGGGCGCTATATTTTTCCAAAGTTGTCGTTCAGTTGGGCTTTTTTTTTCAACTTGTGCAAATAAAGATAACCATTCGATTTTTTTAAATTTTATGTCAGTTGAAAACAAAAGCTTTATTCAAAAGTTAATTCATGTAACTTGTTTGTCATACTATAAATTTGCCTTTTGATTTACAAGCAATAGATATTTACGAACATTTCTTTCTTGTTCAGGATTATAACAAGAATAACTGTTTATAGTCACGATATACATGGTTTCTTTCAGACGCAATAACAAATTTGAAATTCAATAAGATCACAACTAAGTTATTTTGAACACCGGATTTAAGATACCATGCAATTTAACGGAAACTATTGCGTAAATTTCTTTTTAACACGATTGTCCCCAATTTCTGTTCTACAAACTATTTTCACAAGGTTTGCTGTCTTGCAAAATAAAAACCAGGCATGAAGCTTCAAAAAATAAGAAATTTTCTTTCGAGGGTTAAAATGGTCTTAACATAATCAACATAAAGGCATGAAATTTTGATACAAAATTTACAAATTAGGAACAATTTAGGAAAAATAAAAAAAAAATATAAGCATTGAAACTCCCATGTATCTTCTAATAAAACAACGTAAGAGATGACAAAAAATAAATGATCTGAATTATCCTAATGGCGCTTCTAGTGTTAAATGAAGCTTGTCATTAAAAAAATTAAATTTGATTTTCAAAATTCTTTCTGCTGAATTCGTTTCAAGAAAAATTTGAAATTCAAACCCTATTTTTCTTGACTTTCAAAGGTTATGGAACAAAAATCTACTCCAAATGAGATTTAGTTTCGATTTGAAGAACGAAAACTAAATACTTGTTGCTTTGTTATCTTGCTTCTTGATCACAAGTAGTTCTACCATGCATAGCCATCATAACAGATAATAATATTTTTTGATTTAATCTGAATCTCGTGTGATAATAAATATTCTTATCAAAGTTGATCTTTGCAGAGTCGGCTCTTTTAATACGATAATTTTAATAAAGTACGTTTTATTTCGCATATTCCGTTCATGATATCTAGCTTTTCGTAATGTACACAAAATTGTTGTAAATATTTGACGTGTGTACGTTCCATTTTTTTTAAATCATGTGTATTTCCCGAGAAACATGACAATTTCTATGCAGTATTGTAAACCCTGCACATATTATAGTTCTGATTTAGATTGAAAATCGGTAAATCCTTATTAACATTTATTGAGGGCGGGATAGTCTGGTTTGTAGGGAGTTGAAAAACAAATAACGCAGCCTCTGCCTTAAATACGCTTTGTTTCATTAAGCAGGTTTGCTGAATTTTCAAGTGACATTAAAAAAACACAACAGCAACATTTTTTTTCAACTCACATGCTCATTGTTTAAAAAAAATATTTACAATTCGCATTTTTTTGTTTTGTTTAGGTTGAAGAAGAGATCTTATAAATCAAGTTACATAGATGATACTAGTTCTACAATTGGACTAGTAAGTAAATAGTTATGTTGTTTCTTTTTATGAAATATATAAAGCTTTACATTATTTAACCCTTTCGCGCCGACTGTC